TCGGCGACACGCACACACGGAGGCACACGGCCTCCACAGACGGCGGGGTGGGTCAACCAACGCGCGAAACATTGCTGACTTTTGCCGTGGCGGTCCGGGCGGGTTATTTGTGGCATCATAGCTGTGCCTCTTCAGCAGGCTTCAATTGTATCATGTCCATAACAACGAGATAAATATTAGAGTGGCTTGCTTTTAACCATGCACGCCTTTTACCCAATCACGTGCACCACTACAGTGAGATTACTCCCACCATACCCCCGTCAAAACGGAATCAATCCCCACTTACACCGATCATGGCACATGACATGGCACGCGCAAGGCTCAGCGAGCCACGCCACAACACGCTCGCCTGCCACCCGACGGTGGGTGCGGGCGGCGGCACGTACCCGGCACCGGCTCTCCAGGAACCTCGGGCATGACGGCGTCGTCGACGGCCACGGGCACCGCCACCACCGAGCGCGACTCCATGGGCGCCACGTCGTCGAAGATCTCGGCCATCTTGCTGACGATGTCGTCCTTGCGGCGCAGCGACGCCAGGCGTTCGCTGTTGCGCTTGGGCGGCGTCGCCGGCGGCTCGGCGGCGCCGTCCGCGCGCACGATCCGGCGCGGGTTGCTCTTGGTCGGCGCCATGGCGGTGCGGAGTGGCAGAACTTGGTCTGTGTTGGGAAGAGGCTGGTCAGCTGGTGAAGTTAATGACATAAGTCAGCATTTGCAGCATCAAAGAAAACAGCAGGGATATTGTTGCATCGTGGCACCACACATTTATACTTCATAACAAAACACATCAGCTCTGTGATGCATCTCTACCAGCTGATCCAAGCCATTGCCAAACATGACCCCAAAAGACTCACCTGCACACCCATTTTGGACTTGGGCCATGATGGTGTGCAAGATGATTTGTGACAACTGAAGGTCCTGTGATGGCAAATCAGATAACAATGAATGGGCTCCAAATACATTCATAGTACTGTTGCCGTCATTGCAATAACTAGAAATGTTCCAGTGAATGTTTACTCCTTTTAGGGGTGTTATATTACAACAGCAAGATCATGTGGCTAATTTCAGTAAAAAGCCCCCTTGCCATATGTGACTTTAAAATGCAGCAAAAGAATTTCAGCCCAAACAGATTTAGAAATGCATTTTAACCTTCAGGGCTGTGAAAATTGACAACACAATTCTGCCTTTCATACACAATGTGATGGGAGGAGGGAATAAATCATCATATTACAATATCTCCATTCACTCCTTTTCATAAAATTCAGCTTAAAATTGCCTTCTCCAATTTTCTTGCATATTTATACATGTGGATCATAAAGAGGCACTAACAAAGGAAGGAAAAATGAAAAGGCAGTCCCTTCACTAAAAAACATGTTTCCACCTCAAACATGCACTTGTTCTTAAAAATGAAAAACATGACAAAACATATGAAAACTGGTCCTCAGATGTCAACATAAGTTTGTGTACATGCCTGCCCAAAATACAACAAGGCGAAAGGTCGTTCAAAACGTATCACATTGGCGGAGCTGGGGGGAGGGACTGGGGAACATGTCCCATACCTCAGGCACCGATCAAGACCACCACTTCTATTGTTGACCCTCTGTATCACAGGATACATAAAAACGAAACAGATTGCATGTGATTTTAGGACACAAGACAATTGGTAACACTTCACACCCTTCTTTAGGGGCACAAGTAGAGGCAAATATCTATATTTGGGGGGCCAACCAATTAGGGCACTTGCAAACAACCTGGACCTGTTCATATATTGTAATGTAATCTCCAAAATGACTTCAAAATATGCTGTCTGCAACGCAGCAAACAACCAGGGTGTTTAGAAATGAGACTCTACATAGCTAAGAATCGTATGCAAGTCCATTTAAAAACGCCCATAACGCTCAAGCAAAGCTGCGCCACGTTGGCCGCCAAATGGTCTAACCGCGGCACGGTCAAAATAAATCCTACAGGGAAACGAGAAACATTGCAGCACACTAATCACGCCCTCTTACATCAAATCGCCGAGACGAACGTGCACCTCCGGTTGATTCGATTTCAATACACAACTAGCAACCCCTCCCCAAAATGGAGCCTGCTGTCCGCACAGCCATCTTGTAATGCGGCTCAGGCGCGCTGCCGGAGAGACGGGGTCGCTGCGCGTTTGTTCCACCGCCCGTCCAGCCATCGCCCGGGCGGCGGCGGCGACGCCGGCCGCGGAGAAAGGCACGCAGCCGTCCGTGCCTGGAGGCGCAGGGCGATTGTTCGCAGGTGCCCGGCGACAGACAAGGACGCTGTCAAGGCCGCGAACGCACCCGCAACCCGTGACGCCCCGGGCGGGCGCCTGTGCGGCCTTGGATGCAGGTAGGTAGCGGACTGTTACTGGGAAGCGCGATAAGCAGACTTAGGTCGCCGTTACAGGACAGGTCGCTGCACTACGGCTAGCAGGTGGGAGATGCAATACGAGTAGCCAGGAGGTGTGACAGCAAGACAAGTTTTGTCGGTCATATATGCCTGGGTGACTATTGAATGGACAGCAGAGCGATTATCATGAGGAAGGTTGCAGGCCCGAATAGTCCTGGAGCCGCAGAGCTGAGTTGATAAAACGGTGCGACACTTTCAACTTCAGTTCCCCGTCCGACCCGACTGTCGCGTTCTCCTTGAAAAAATACCACCGCTGCTTACAGCTTCGTGCACATTCGCAAATAGTAGGCGCGAGTCCATCTCTTCAAACTCATTATGTACGAGTTTTACGGCATATTGCTACGAGCTATCTGATCGGCCTTAATATTCTGGAACGTTGCGGTGCAAAAAAAAGCCTCCCACACCATGAAAGTGGGGGACTCAAATACTATACTGAGAAAGAGCTGCATTCGTCGGCCGCATCGGTGCCAGACGTCGGAGGTCGGGCGTCGCAGCCACGCGAAACTGGCCTTGTCTAATGGGGGGGGGGGGGGGGGGGGGGAAGACCCGCGATGCGAAAGAAGGGTCTGTTGTGTGCGCCCGGCCGCCTGTCACGGAACCATGGATCCGATCGTTTTGTCAGCTTTTTGGTTGCTTGATTGTTTGTTGGGTTTTAGAAACTCAATTACATAACATCATGACACCAAACGCACTGTGTAGACAAATGTACCGGCTACAAATTGACCAACCGATTTAATGAGTTCAAAATTATTATACTCCATCCGCCCGCTCCGCCAATAACTCATTTGGTTGGAGCACCTGCCTTCCGATCCACCCACTCGTGGCGGGATGGATGGATCCCAGTCCCAGAAACCCGTCCATGCACGAAGGTTCGAATCAATCTTTGTTTAAAAATATTATACCAGTACGAACTGGTTAAACAACGGGATCAAGATCGCGCTGTTTATATTTCCAATGTGCAGCGTCACAACGCGCCCTTATGATATTTCGTGATCGTGTTGTTTTAGAAGCCCTTCAGGCGCTTTAAACTCCCTGTAAATATTGAGTTTTCCGCCACTTCCTCCAGGCGAGGGGGAGTATGACCTCGAAAGCCCCTCCCTCTAGGATGCACTGATCAAAGTAACAAAGCCCACCGGAACTCAGTGAAGTCCTGTTGAACCCGAGCCGAGTCCCGCTGTACCGGTAGTCAGGCTCCGGTCTGTGTCCGGAGCGCCATATTGGGCCTGTGCTCACGCGGAAGGTTTTAGGACAAATGATCTCGACACATCTAGCCGCAGATCTGTTTGCGCCAAACGTTATTTTTCAACGCATCTTTTCGCTGCCGTGTCAATGAGGCGATGTCCTAAAAAGTCGAAGTTTTTTGTGTTTTACGTTACATACCTTATATATATATATATATATATATATATATATATATATATATATATATATTGTAACCGATATTCGTTTTTCTTAAGTATCCCTCCTTGCGATGTGTCAGGTTGATGAGCTGTTTATAAGTCGAAAGACGCATTTCACGATAGCCAATTTCCGGAAATTTTGTTCAGTAAAATTCTTACCTTTCAGACAGTTTTGAAGTCGAATACTAATTGCCCAGGTGTCCTATGATCGAAATATAGTTTGCCGACACGCTCTTGATCAGACTGCTAATAGCCAAACCATTCTTAAGTTGGCTGTTAATTTTTCGGAACATTATCTTGTTGGCCGAGATATTCCTTTTTGAATGTTGAGTGCAGAAACGTTTGTTAGGCGAAGGATAATGAGCACATGTTTTTTAACCAAATGCTCATGCGTCGAAATATTGTTAGTATGCTGAAGGTACAGTTTCGGGAATGGCTTACTTCTTATGAAGGCTTCAACGTGCCACAGGTCGTTCTCATCTCCATCTGTATTGTCATTCGCGATGTCCAATCAGGTTAGAATCCGAGTTCTTGGGTCCCGCGCCCTGGATCCCCCGGTGATGTAGCTCCGGTTTTTTCCACAATGGGAGGCCGAAAAAAACAAAGCCCGCTGATGATGATGATGACGGCAAGGTACAAACAAGCAATCATGTACATGCGTGGAACCTTGTTGCATAGTAGAACGCTTCGTTGGGTTCACGTGATGATGGTCTCATACCTGTACATGTTTTTTGGAAGTAGATTACTTTGAGCTCTCGTACCATGCACCGCGCGAACATGCGAGCATTGCGTAACGCACTTGCTGGAAAACGCAAAGAAAATGAAAAGGGATATTTTCATGATGGTGAGCAGAAAGGCCAACGGAATCTCTGGTGCCAAAGCGGCTACTTCAAATCAAAATTTTAAGCCACTCAGAAGAATTTCGCAATAGCTGTCTTGATCGACCAAATCAAACGCGTTTGATCCAGCAGTGCACGTACCCGGGTGGCCTGTTGAATACCCTTCGCTTGGGTGGAGCGGGTCTCAATTTGACCCCTAAGATCTTAAAAATCAAGGTAACTAGACACACCAAACTTATAGGGTTGGTTGGCCTGCATGTGAATTCACTTGTATCAAAATTTGAGGTTCATAGGTCATGACCTTCGGGTCAAATAAGGTCAACGTGTCCAGTTTGGTGTCGTAAGTGCCCCAAATCTCCTCGTGCAACTGCCGCATTGCTACATACCTTTTCTAAGCAAAAGTTAAATAGTCTTCAGCTACGGTCGGTGACCTTGTTTGAACGTTATAAGGTCAAAGTGGCCAAACGCCGATGACATTGTTTTTATTTTGGCACCCAAATCAAACTAATAAGCGTGTAGGATATTATATGAGCATCAGGGATTACGCTAGGCGGTACTCTCCCTGGAAACAAACTGTTGACTAGGGTCATTGTAGGTCAGTGACGTACTCCGACTTTTAAAAAGTCTATGGAACCTGTCTGTTGCGGTCCCTGTCGGAAATAAATTCAAAATAAGCATCATAAACAACCCTTTAAACTAAGCTCTCGAGCGAAGAGCAGGTTTCTTTTAACCTAGGTCTGACCTTTATGCGTGATGCTAGGTTAGTGGAATTTGCTTTAATTCTAAATTAACTTGGTTCATTGCCTAAGAAACCATCTTAGATGTGCATGGTATCGTATGATATTATGTTGTTGTATCACATCGAATAATTCCCTAGAAATGCCCTTCGCTGGCAGTCAGGGCCTGACCTTCATCTGGCAAAGGTCAGCTACCGCACAGCGTACAACTATTTTCACACCAAAATATCTGCTAGTAAATTGCCTACAGCCATGCAGTGTTTGACGCTGCTAAGCCGCGCCGTTTGGAAACCATTCTGGAAAACCTTCGGGGAGGGGGCGTCAAACTAACCTTCGCCGCCCGGGCGCTTGTTAAGGTGGAAGACAAAGCGGACACGCGGCATTTTTTCCTATTCTCGCCCAGACAGCTTGTTTTCTGACGACCCGTCCAAATCCATATCCACTTGTGATTTGGTATAGCAAAGTTTCTCCTTCCTTCCCCACGACTACTCACTACAACACTTCCAGGTCGTCTTCCATGAGATCTTTCTAAACGTGTGGTTTGATTTCATGTCCAGAGGCGATCCCCGGACATCCCGAAAGCTCCAATCTTCCATCATACCCGTATTTCTCATTGTCAGTCTGAAGCAATCAGTTTCCTACCCTCTGGCTCGTGTCCTTTGCGTGTGTCATGACCATTCAACACGGCAGTTGTCATGATGTATAACCCGTTATGTAGTTGTCAGCCTTTGTGATACTGTTATCTTGTGTGCATATTCCGCTGTTTTTCTCCTTAGCACCAACTTACGACCTGCTTGTTCCCATCTGCGGAGGGTTGTACGTTCTTATCGAGGGCGCTATGGTTAGCATTCCCGGACGCTCTCGATTGCTCGAGGGCCTCACGACATTGGTCTTGGGTGACTTATATTTTTTGTACAACCCTCCGCTGTTTTCAGGGCCCTAATTGCCCTATCTACAAGGCACTCACAATCGCTGTGGGCATTCCACAATACTGATGGGCTCTTCACAACTCTTCGAAGGGCTCATGCTGACTCTGGGATGCATATGTTGGCTTACCGGGGCACACGGGTTTCAAACGTGGGTTTTCACGGGTTTCACATTTCAAATTTACTTGTCGGAAGAGCGGTCGCCTGTGAAATGAGATTCGATCCTTCCCGGAAGGCGTTCTTGGCCTTACCTAGCGCAGTAGTAGAATTATCTGTTAGTCTGGTATGCTTCTTGTTCAACACTAAATGTTTCATTACACAACAACAATTACCGGTTTATGAAAAGTCGTCAATTGTTGCAAGCTCTTAGATGTTGCTCGGTCACGTGGTGGATGGTATTAACAATGGCCAACATTTTCGTCAGCTACGGAGTTTCGCCTCCTCGAGGAATTTTGTTTTCGTTGTTTTTTTGTTGTTGATATTTTAGGACGCGCCGACTCTGTTTTAGGACGCGCCGACTCTGTTAAGGGGGTGGACTCAAATCATATAAGATTCAGGGAGGGAGGGCGGAAAGTGTTCGACCGTGTATAGGTCCCAAAATTTTCATTTCTGAATTCCTCGTTTTAAAACAACGCGAGACCGCTTCATGGCAAATGGTTGCACTGAACCACGTAGGCTGGAGTCCTCCCGTTTCCAGACAATATTAGGTCGCTTGGTTGCATGGGAAACCCCTAGAACACGCTCAGTTGGGG